CACACACACACATATATAATTTTGCTAAAGAAAATTACAGATGCATGGTGATATAGGCGAAATATGTTGTGAAAGATGCATATAAAGTTATTTAATAAGCTTTCTCAGATCACCTGTTTTTTCATTATCTCTGTCAGCAGCTCCTTTCAGAAATTTTAAAATCAGGAACTTCTCCTGTGTTGTAGAGGGTTTTTTCTGACACTTCTGAAATCACAGAACAAGTGGTATCAATATGTGTTTACCATGAAAGATCAAAACCTGTTTTAAGTTTCAGCCCATTTTCACGCTCTATGTAAGTGACGTATCCGATTAACTGTAACTTACAGTGCATACTTTTAGGTTAAATGAATTAGCTTACTTCCATTCATTCGTTGACAAATTGCCAACAAAACCTTTATATACAGGTGCATCTCAATAAATTAGAATGTCGTGGAAAAGTTCATTTATTTTAGTAATTCAGCTCAAATTGTGAAACTCGTGTATTAAATAAATTCAGTGCACACAGACTGAAGTAGTTTAAGCAAAATCATCACAATTAAAAGAACCAAAGACTTAAACTACTTCAGTCTGTGTGCATTGAATTTATTTAATACACGAGTTTCACAATTTGAGTTGAATTACTGAAATAAATGAACTTTTCCACGACATTCTAATTTATTGAGATGCACCTCATCGTATATAAAAAACGCCCATCTACACATAAGATGACATTAAAAGCCCAAACTTTAAACAAGAGCTCAAGTATATAGTTACCTCTTATGTACTGAACAAAATTATAAACGCAACACTTTTGTTTTTGCCCCCATTTTTCATGAGCTGAACTCAAAGATCTAAGACTTTTTCTAAGTACACAAAAGGCCTATTTCTCTCAAATATTGTTCACAAATCTGTCTAAATCTGTGTTAGTGAGCACTTCTCCTTTGCCAAGATAATCCATCCACCTCACAGGTGAGGCATATCAAGATGCTGATTAGACAACATGATTATTGCACAGGTGTGCCTTAGGCTGGCCACAATAAAAGGCCACTCTAAAATGTGCAGTTTTATCACACAGCACAATGCCACAGACATGCAAGTTTTGAGGGAGCGTGCAATTGGCATACTGACTGCAGGAATGTCCACCAGAGCTGTTGCCCGTGAAATGAATGTTCATTTCTCTACCATAAGCCGTCTCCAAAGGCATTTCAGAGAATTTGGCAGTACATCCAACCGGCCTCACAACCGCAGACCACGTGTAACCACACCAGCCCAGGACCTCCACATCCAGCATCTTCACCTCCAAGATCATCTGAGACCAGCCACCCGGACAGCTACTGCAACAATCGGTTTGCATAACCAAAGAATTTCTGCACAAACTGTCAGAAACCGTCTCAGGGAAGCTCATCTGCATGCTCGTCATCCTAATCGGGGTCTCGACCTGACTGCAGTTCGTCGTCGTAACCGACTTGAGTGGGCAAATGCTCACATTCGATGGCGTCTGGCACTTTGGAGAGGTGTTCTCTTCACGGATGAATCCCGGTTTTCACTGTACAGGGCAGATGGCAGACAGCGTGTATGGCGTCGTGTGGGTGAGCGGTTTGCTGATGTCAACGTTGTGGATCGAGTGGCCCATGGTGGCGGTGGGGTTATGGTATGGGCAGGCGTATGTTATGGACAACGAACACAGGTGCATTTTATTGATGGCATTTTGAATGCACAGAGATACCGTGACGAGATCCTGAGGCCCATTGTTGTGCCATTCATCCACGACCATCACCTCATGTTGCAGCATGATAATGCACGGCCCCATGTTGCAAGGATCTGTACACAATTCCTGGAAGCTGAAAACATCCCAGTTCTTGCATGGCCAGCATACTCACCGGACATGTCACCCATTGAGCATGTTTGGGATGCTCTGGATCGGCGTATACGACAGCGTGTTCCAGTTCCTGCCAATATCCAGCAACTTCGCACAGCCATTGAAGAGGAGTGGACCAACATTCCACAGGCCACAATCAACAACCTGATCAACTCTATGCGAAGGAGATGTGTTGCACTGCGTGAGGCAAATGGTGGTCACACCAGATACTGACTGGTTTTCGGACCCCCCAATACAGTAAAACTGCACATTTTAGAGTGGCCTTTTATTGTGGCCAGCCTAAGGCACACCTGTGCAATAATCATGCTGTCTAATCAGCATCTTGATATGCCACACCTGTGAGGTGGATGGATTATCTCGGCAAAGGAGAAGTGCTCACTAACACAGATTTAGACAGATTTGTGAACAATATTTGAGAGAAATAGGCCTTTTGTGTACATAGAAAAAGTCTTAGATCTTTGAGTTCAGCTCATAAAAAATGGGGGCAAAAACAAAAGTGTTGCGTTTATAATTTTGTTCAGTATATTTCAGCCACCCTGACTGCAAATAATAGAAAAATGTCATACAAAGGCAGTTGCGATTTGTAGAGTTCATCCTCAGGGTTCAGGTGACAATAAATCATGAGATAAACTTGCCTTCTGATGTGTAGAAAATGAAAGCACAGAAACTGAGATTAAAATTAGACCAGGATTTGTGATGTGGATGTTGTGTCTAATTGAATATTCCCCCCTTGGATGCTCTTTGTGTCTGGCATGTGAACTAGAGGGGACGTTTCAATATATAGCTACCAAAGCCTGCAGCAATAACTATATCTAGGTTGAAAGCACCCTCCTCCACACACTCACACAGAACACCCACATGCACACATACACACACGCACACACACACAAGCACGCGCGCACACACACACACACACACACACACACACACATAAAGACATTTCTTTATTTAGACTATAATTAATCAGTTATTTAACTACACTGTACAAAATTATAAACGCAACACTTTTGTTTTTGCCCCCATTTTTCATGAGCTGAACTCAAAGATCTAAGACTTTTTCTATGTACACAAAAGGCCTATTTCTCTCAAATATTGTTCACAAATCTGTTTAAATCTGTGTTAGTGAGCACTTCTCCTTTGCCGAGATAATCCATCCACCTCACAGGTGTGGCATATCAAGATGCTGATTAGACAGCATGATTATTGCACAGGTGTGCCTTAGGCTGGCCACAATAAAAGGCCACTCTAAAATGTGCAGTTTTATCACACAGCACAATGCCACAGATGTCGCAAGTTTTGAGGGAGCGTGCAATTGGCATGCTGACTGCAGGAATGTCCACCAGAGCTGTTGCCCGTGAATTGAATGTTCATTTCTCTACCATAAGCCGTCTCCAAAGGCGTTTCAGAGAATTTGGCCGTACATCCAACCGGCCTCACAACCGCAGACCACGTGTAACCACACCAGCCCAGGACCTCCACATCCAGCATCTTCACCTCCAAGATCGTCTGAGACCAGCCACCCGGACAGCTGCTGCAACAATCGGTTTGCATAACCAAAGAATTTCTGCACAAACTGTCAGAAACCGTCTCAGGGAAGCTCATCTGCATGCTCGTCGTCCTCATCGGGGTCTCGACCTGACTGCAGTTCGTCGTCGTAACTGACTTGAGTGGGCAAATGCTCACATTCGATGGCGTCTGGCACTTTGGAGAGGTGTTCTCTTCACGGATGAATCCCGGTTTTCACTGTACAGGGCAGATGGCAGACAGCGTGTATGGCGTCGTGTGGGTGAGCGGTTTGCTGATGTCAACGTTGTGGATCGAGTGGCCCATGGTGGCGGTGGGGTTATGGTATGGGCAGGCGTATGTTATGGACAATGAACACAGGTGCATTTTATTGATGGCATTTTGAATGCACAGAGATACCGTGATGAGATCCTGAGGCCCATTGTTGTGCCATTCATCCATGACCATCACCTCATGTTGCAGCATGATAATGTTGCATGTTGCAAGGATCTGTACACAATTCCTGGAAGCTGAAAACATCCCAGTTCTTGCATGGCCAGCATACTCACCGGACATGTCACCGATTGAGCATGTTTGGGATGCTCTGGATCGTCGTATAAGACAGTGTGTTCCAGTTCCTGCCAATATCCAGCAACTTCGCACAGCCATTGAAGAGGAGTGGACCAACATTCCACAGACCACAATCAACAACCTGATAAACTCTATGCGAAGGAGATGTGTTGCACTGCGTGAGGCAAATGGTGGTCACACCAGATACTGACTGGTTTTCGGTTGTGTTGCGTTGATAATTTTGTTCAGTGTAGTTAGCCATACGGCTGAGATGCTAACAGACTTTTTCCAAAGACACTAAACCATTTCTTTAAAGTAAATATTCAACGGAAGCATGCCATTTACATGAAAGAAAGTGTCAGGAACACTTGTATGTACTATTTGTGTAATTTTAGAGACTAAACTTACCTGAAATTAGTGAAAACAACAGTAAGAGACGGAGTTCAGCTGCTTGACAGTTGAGCTGCCGTCCATTTCCATGGTGACTTCCTCCGCTCCAGATCAGTTCCAATATAATATAATATAATATAATAACAGTGCTCCAGATATATGTCAGATGTCTATAATCTATTTCTTCACTTGCTACATTTATTAGGGCTGTGTGATCAGAAATAAACGTGCTTATGCTAAATTTGGACTAAATTAGACGGACCAAACAAAGCCCAGTTTTCGACGTCGATTTTTGGACTAAAAGACGGCCATGACGGGCCGACTTGATTTAGCCCAAAAAAACGACATCCAAATGACGTCTGGTGCTGGGTGGGAAGTTTGATCGGCAGAGATCAGCTTCCACAACCAAATCTCTTCTCTACAACAGTGTTTTAATTTAGAGAGAAAGTCATCCTCAGTTTTTCATCTTCGTGGAATGATGTGCAGTTTCAGATTACGTATTTTTAATGAATATATTTCATGGATGAGCTGCACCACATGCAGTTGAACGTCCAGTGTGAGCAGAGCTGGAATACCAAGAAGCAGCTCGAATACAAGGCTGTTTACTTTTGATTATCATTGGTTTGGTAACATTCATGTCAGCTGTTGTCATGGTGAGGTGTGTCAGTCTGTGTCCTACATTGACATATATATTTTTAATCAGGTCATATTACCTGATTTGACCCAGTGTTTACATAAGACATAAGAATTTATGTCAATGTTTCATAAACACTGTTTGCGAAAGCAAAAAAACAGAACATAATTTGACAGAAATAATCACAGGGATTTGTAAATTTGAAGACACACCCATGGAGCATTTGATTTAAAACCATTCAGGACTGAATCCCTTTTTTTATATACATTTTACATCTAAAAAAACAATGTTTGAGGTAGTGGATGAGATGAACACAAAGAAACACTAGTCTCTCTCTCTCTCTCTCTCTCTCTCTCACACACACACACACACACACACACACAAAAAAAACTACACATAACGTGAGTTTCTTCCCTCTCCTCTATCATCACAGTTTGATTATTGTAAAACAAATGTCCTCGTGACACCCCTGAATGCACCTGCTGTACGTAAATACTTGTTCATGTCAGTAATGATGCTCTGTGTTAGTTGTAAGGAATTTAACTCATTATTTCTTATAAGGGAATTAATCATTAATTTTATTTCTAGCTCAGGTTTTGAGAGGACTCGAATCTGAAACTTCAAAGTCAACCTGATTAAAACTGATATTTTACACTTTATCAGCTACTCGTCCAGCGAGACGTTAATGTCAGTGTATATTAACAATGTCGCGAATCAGCTCATGGGGAAATATGAATAATTAATCATAACTAGTTATAATTAATTAC